TGGAAATCTGTACGGAATCTCGAATAGTCTTAGAATATTTTCTCAGAGCTCTCAGAATAGAGTGACAAGACAAAGTCTCAGAATTGTTCTCATGTTGATGTTACGTGAAAGGCCGGCTCGAAAATTTGTATCACATGAGGGTGGACCATTTCAGATTGACGGAACACTTTGGACGGAGTAACCTGAGATGTTCTAACCGATGCCAGCGCCGTGTTCGTCTTACGCACACTTCTTAGATTCAAGCTGTGCTTCTATGATGAATGGCTATATTCACACTCTGAGATGTTCTAACCGATGCCAGCGCCGTCTTACGCACGCTTCTTAGATTCAAGCTGTGCTTCTATGATGAATGGCTATATTCACACCCTTCGACTTTTTTGACTTATAGATTGTAGCGGGACTAACTCCCGAGCTATGTCGGTTCCCATTTGCATGGCTTAAAACTTAATCAGATTTCAATTTGCCCGAAAGCCGCAGGAGAATTCACATCGATGCGCGTGCAGACTTACCACGTGCTCCGGCATCACCCAGCATGGTTAATGGTCATCGCATAAACTCAAGCCAATTTAACAATGTTAACCTTACTTTCGGTTGGGTTAATTGGATTTTTTATATTCTGTGCTGCTTGGACGCGCCTTTTGACTGGATTTCGATTGCTACTTGTGAGACCTTCTGTTGGAGCTCTCGCGGTATTGATGTTTTGTCCCGGCGTGAGACTTGACGTGCATTCTCAGCCATAGTTGACTTTAATTGGGTGTTTACAAACTTTTATAAGGCTTGGTGGTCGACGTCCTAGGACACGTTGGACGTTCCTCGAATTGACAAGGCCCAAGGTGGACAAACATAGACACCCTGCCACTCTCAGGTAGGAGGGGCGAGTGATAAAACCGGAACGCGGTCCCAGTTCTGACCACGCGGAGGAAAAGAAAAAACTATTAACGACTAAGTCCCAAGCCGTGGAAGAGAAGTGGAAAAGCGTGGGTGGAGTGTTGTGCTGCATGCCAAAAATGCGAAGCATTCCGAGTTCGTTTAAGCACACCCAGACTCGAACCTGCCGAGCTCGAGCCTAAGGATCGCTCGGGCACTGTATTCTCTGCTCACCAAAGACCGAGAACTGTCGCTGTGGTTCTCAGCCTCGTGGTGACCAACGTTCGAGGTGGGGATATGCTAACGACCATACTCTTAAGGAACAACGTGAAAATGTTTCACGAGAAGCAGTCGCTCACAGCGCGTCGTCGCCGATGGATAAAGCCCTAAACATGACGGTTCAGGCTGGGTGGTCTAACCGGATGAAGCTGTACGAAAATAGATGGTCCAGCTTGGAAACCACGTCCGTACCGACTCAAATCGTTTTACCAAAGGGTTCAACGCTCTAAAAAACAACAAGTCCCGAGTATCGGGCTCCGAGAAGTATTACACAATGAGGCGGTACAAGCATTCCTATATCGCCTGAATGTAACCGTAGAGCGTGCGAACGTATAATCCCGGAAGTCAGAACGCCGCCGTGAACAACCCATCAAGCGTTTCATAAAGCATTTGTGGATGTGCCACTCAAGTCGACATTGCAGCGTCAGATGTTCTACAAGGTGTCCTACCTGGAATATGTTCTGAAACAACAAGAATAGATGAATCCAAATTGGAGTTAATCTACTCGATCATCTCCGAGCTTCACTTTAAGGCTGACACTGTCGCTCGGGCCGGAGTCATGCTGAAAACCTCAAATCGGGCCTATGTAGCTCAGGAGGACGAAGAGTCTGAAATCGAGGTTCCGACCCAGTATGAGCAAATACTCGACGAGGGTGGTCCTTTTCCGCAGGAGCTGCTTAAGGGAATCCAGGATACTCATATCGACAATGCACCGAATGACATATTCTTGAGCAACGGAAGTGCTCATTCACGGAATCTATTGAATCACGAAAAACGTAGGTTGGAACCCGGCCAACCCGAACTATTGAGATAAATCGAATACCGGACCCAGCCCGTCACTTCCTCTTCCTGCCCAACAAGGTACCTTCCAGGGATGTTAGACCCACAACAACCCGGGACGTCTGGAATTTTGTGAGAAATGCAGATAACTTGGACATCATCCGGAGAAAAGTTGGACTAACTTGATATGTTGGAGCTGCCGCCCAACGTGTACAGTTGCTCGACCGAGTCGTGACCAAAGTGTGATGAATTTCATGATGGTCTAGCTGACTTGCAGACCTATGTGGGGTAAGCCATTCTGAATGACGAGGATGATCTTGAGGATGTGCCGTTAAACCACTTTGCCGCCGGATGTGGATTCGGTACGCGTCGGACTGAGAAAACCCTAACGATTATATGTGTTAGCGTAATGTCAGGCCCTGAACTGAGGACTTCGAACATCGATAACCCACAAGGCGAACCTGGTTCTTGTGTTTGGTTGATGAAGAAACCAAACAGCGAGGAAGAAAATGAGTTTCAGGATCGAATGGAGATTTTACACCCGACGAGTACACTCGGAGCGTGATCGGCTCGCGTGTAGCTGTATATACGTCAACATTTTTGAAGTTGACACACTGGATGTGGATACCCAGGAGCGCGATGACGCCAATATCCGGGAATACACTGATGAAGGCTATGACGAAATAGTCCAAGAACCCGAATTCAACGCTATTCAGGATGCCCGAGCATGGAAGATGTGGAAGATGATGGTTTCAATTTGCTTTGGACGCCACGCCTTGAACATCCCTTGTACGCCTTGATGTGGCATACACCAGATGTGTGCATATATGCACCGAGGAGCTCGATTTGGAGACCGCGGTGTACATTCGTGAGGGAGGTGAGATGATATCACATTTGAAGGATCACCTCATTATGTTATCTGATCTAGAAAACTACCCTCCTGAATGTAACATCAAGGTCGCCGACGTTGGTTAACCCAGTGAAAACACATACACACGATGTAACTTAAGGACTGAAGAGACATCACACGATCTTCTTAGGAGACGGGAACGCAGCTGCGCGAGGTGTCATTTGCGAACTAGAAGTCGGGGATGCCAAGCGAGAGGCCCAGCAACCCTGATCGGTTGACCCTCACTTCGCGATCAATGTTTTACGAGTTGCTGAAGAAGCATTTGGAAGTCACTCTGATTGACCATTACGAATCGTCGTGGGCAACTCCGATCGACATCACCCTCATGAGCGATGGTGTCGACATTTGGATGTGTATCGATTATCGAGTCGTGAATAGTTTCATCCAGCTTTCCCATTATACTCTCCCGCTAATTGGTGATCTCAGCACTGGTTTCGAATGTATGGTGATTTGGAAATGGTAAGTGGCTTCGGGGTAGCCCGAATTACGGAGAGAACGAAGTTAATCTCGGCATTCAAATATCCATTTGGATACTTTCAATAAGTGCGAATGCCTTTCAGGTCGGAAAATGCCCGTTGATCTAGCAAAAGATGACCAATAATTGTATGTGATAGATTACCACCGGAGAAGCACATTTGTATAAAAATGTCCTAGATTGCCTGAAGCTAACGCCCCAGGGGTAAAGTAATCAGACTGACTTGGAATGTTGCGTGACGGCTCTCACGGTACCGATACCAGTTTTCAGACACAACAGCCCAGCACCATTCCAAATCCCCGTACTGGGAGGAGTTCGTATAATGACGATATCTCTCATGGGGCTGCCACTTTGGATCGTCTATGTGACGGTCTCCATGCGTTATTCTATCGGCTGCGTTACTGGAGTATCTCTGTCAGTCTACCTAAAAGCGAGATCAGGAAACGTGTCATGCCGTACCCCTCGCACAAGAAAGGTCTGCTCTATTCCAAAGATTTCGGAACGTATTCAGGAACTCCTGTTTCCGTCTACCCTAAGAGGAGCCCAGTCGCGCTAACATAGTCAGAATTACCGTCACAAGTTCTTTTTGATTACGCAGAGGTGGCCGCACCACTGCATGAGTTGACCAAAGATCAAATACGTACCGGACAAGACTTCTCCGGGCGAAGGAGTCCTTCGAGATCCTAAATAAGAAATATCATGTCGACTCCTTGTTAATACATCTCGATCAGACGAATCCGTTTGTGATCATTCCTCATGCTCATCGGTGGGCTGGTTGCGCGGTCCTTAAACAGGTGCAAGATTCAAGGGTCGTCTCCTGAATGACACATAACTGAAGTATCACATTACGGAAAAGGAAGTTCTTGCTGTTATTCGGGTGCTCCATGTTTTCAAAGGACCTGATGGAAGGATGCCCTCTGATCATATACACGCGACATTCTGTGCTGAAATGGGTCACCAATTCCAAAATAGCCGAAGGTCGTGTGGTGCCACGGGCCGTTGCTTAGCCGCAGGACGACCTAGAAATTCCGAAGGTTCGATGAGACGAAGGCGAGCTAGCTGGCATCATGGGCGCAGATACGACCAGAGAGCATCTGGATAAAATCGCTGAAGAACTCATTCCAACCAAGGGGCCCGTCAAACCACCCCGAATTGTAAGCATTGACCTGATTTTAGATGGGGCAGTAAAAAAATCTCCATGAGGAAAGGCAGCTGTGGAAGTATTTTATGACAGTTACCTGAATTGATAATTCTGTACACCCAAGGTTACATCTTGAATGACGCGGAGTACGATGGATTACTCAAGGGGTTTGGAATGACTATATTTCGATATATTCAGGATCTCGTCGTTGTGGATGCTTCGATTATCGTGGTCCAGCAGTTGCAACTCGCAGATTCGCTCGCCCTGTGTGTTATATAGACTATCGCACTCCGATGCTTTGGATAATCTGATGCTATTGGTTCCGAGCTCTCTCCGAGAAGACATATTGAATTATGCACACGAGGATTTTCTGGATGGCCACCAAGGTATCACCCGAACGCACGAAAAGTTACATTCAGATTTCAACTGACCGGGTATCTATGCGGACGATCAATACTTCATGAAAGAGTGTGTGGATTGTGCCATTGGAAAATGGGCCTCTGAATGCTGGACCTTCGCCTGGGAATGAGCCTAGGTGTCCATTCGAGATGATTTCCATAGCTTTCGTGACGCCCTTCATGACCGAGTCAAGCCGAGGGAATGCTTTCCCATTGGTTCTTCTGGATATAGAGTTGGGTTATGTGATGTGCAAGCCGATGTCGGCTACGACAGCCCAAGACGTTGCTGAGGTTAATGAGGAACTGGTGTTCCAGATCATCGGAGCTTCTTCTGTGATTCGGCATGACCAAGACCCGTTTTTCATACGTGACGTGGTCACAACGTTTCGTTAACTTTTAGGAAGTCGACAACGTTCTACACTCTGATATCGTCCACAAGCAAACGGGCAAGAAGAAACGTATGTGCAGACGGTCATTCAAAGGGTTGGTAAATTCGTGTCCGAGATGGAACCGTCCGACTGGGGCGATCACGCTGAACAACAGATGTCCTGAACACTTCATTTTGATGCTACCCGCCTGGATTCACCATCCCACTTAGTTCATGGTTTGGATACCTGAGGTACGGTGTCCGCTATGCTAGGACCGAAGCCATCGAGGGTTCCAGCTTGTAGATAACGAGTACTAAAACTCAATGCCAGCTATGCACTCGCATGTGCTGATGATCTCCAGAAGAAGACCACGTTCAGAAGAACAGAACCAGAAGTGGATCGAGCTATCAGTAAGCATCAAGAACGGATTCAAGATGGGTGAAGCTGTGGGGTTGTACGTCCCGAACGTTCATACCAGATTGAATCGAAACCTAGCACACATGTGGCACAGCCCATCCAGGATTGATGCAATTTGAGATGAATTTCGGGTGAAGCTCCGAGTGGAGAACTCGGGCTATCGAGTTACCCTTGGGTACACATTAGCTGACTTAAGCCGAGAGCAGATTTCCGAAGCGGCCGACCACCGACGTCGACGTGGAATGTGACGATGACTTAGATACATCGCTGTTGTCTATGGACAGCTGAGCGCCAGACATCCCAAATGGTGTTTTTGAAGTAGAGATCATTCATGATGTGCGTTGGGTAAAGCGCACGTACCTCGAAACGATCTCAAGAGTATCGCGTTCAGTGAAAAGGTTATGATGATCCAGAATGGATCCCAGTGTGACAGCGAAACTGCTGATCATTGCTGTACGAGTTTAACAAATGGGTGAGAGCGCGAGCTCGATTCCATGTAATGCAGGCCGGGGATAATCACCCGAGTGTGCAGTCGCCCTGAGTGGTATCGTCTGAAATGACACAGCCCGTTGATCATGAAACTTTAGAATGTATTTGTTCTGTTTCGACTGGACAATCAATGCTCGGGGTGTGCCATGGTATGTAAACCCGGACGTGAGAATGGAGATGCGAATGAAGAAGACGAGAGAGATCCAAGTTGTGTTTCGAATGGTACAACCTAAATGTACGGGACAGGTACGAGTGAATGCATGAAACGGAAGTGTGTGAAACCGAACTGAGACTATGACGGGGGTTACACTACGACATGTAATACAAAAGATATTATGAGAAGCGCTTGGTAACCAATCGAAGTCCAGAGTGACGGCGTCTTCTACGACCGAAGTTAAGAACGTTTCAGAAACTTCCGGGAAGTAACCGATGCGTTCTTCGTCAAAAGCGCACGTGTTCCACTGAACACGCGTAGGCTCCTGGTTGTTTTGCAGCTCCATCTATTTACTCAGGCGGTAGGTACTGCTGTATTTGTTGAGCTGGGACATGTGCATTAAAATCCAGTGACAGTACTTAGAGGGTATGGCATACGCACCTGCTTCGTCAAACAGGGTTTCATCCGTGCCGGCATCAACCCAATCATCCAGAAGCTTGTTGTGCTCCTTCATCGCTTTGTACCAGTCGGTCTTGCGCTCGTGGTGCAACTCCAAAGATTAGTCATCCCCCACGTCCAGTTCGATAAACACCCAGTGATCAAACCACCAAATTGCGCGGCAGTTAGCCCACCTGGATTAGACCACCATATCGAGGCCTTCAAGAGATACGTCACCCACTTTGTTGCGCTCGTCCCGCAGCAAGAATTTCGCGATCCTCCAATATGATATTCCACGGAATGATACCCATCAACGCCGTGAAGGCCACAGGGGTCCTAGCACTCCCGCAGTGCTTGGACGTCTTCGCATTTTGCCTAATTAGGCGTATACTCGAAAGTCAAGCGATTGCGTCGTGGTGTTGGTGGTTCCTAGATGAAACTTCATCAATATGGCATAGTAACACCACGAGAAAATATCAAGACCAGGTATCTGGGACGATGTAGATTACAATTTTGAAAGATGGAGAGGCGAGGAAGTGGA